CATCCATCCATCCATCCATCCATCCATCCATCCATCCATCCATCCATCTTGCGTTGACCATAAACATGTACCTGGCAAGGGAGATAGAGCAAAAGACAGTCCATGTCTTCCTGTTGCTCAGAGCCTAGAGGGGTAAACAAATAAGCAGACGGGAACAAGCATGCCCAGGAGGCTGATGCACATTGTCAAGCAAGGGCTTCTATGGAACATGTAGCAGGAGAGTAGACCAAGGGAGACTCCCAGACATGAGAAATAGACGTTAGGCAAAGAAGTCGGGAGAAGGATGTGCTGGGGAGAAGCAGCAGCGTGAACAAAGGCACGGAGCCTTTTATTTACTTCTTCACTCAATTACCTTTCCTGAGTGTCCACTCTGTACCATCTTCAGCGTCCCTACCATTCTGTCATTCTTGCCCGGACAGTTTCCCTCTGTCATTGCCGTTTACGCCGCACTTGGCTCCCTGACAATGGGCCTTCCCTGAAGGTCTTCTCTGGGCCCTTCTTTAATCCTTCTCTCTTCAGCCCCCCTCGGCAACTCCAGCTGTACTAATAGCCGCTGGCACCTGCCAGGAAACATCTTCCAAATTGTCAACTCTCAGTGCCACCTCTGAGCTCCGGGAAAACAGCGCTCCTGTTGCATTCAACTTGGCCTCCCAACACCCAACGCTATGACTGATAATTGGTTGGGCTTGATAATGTTCGCTGCCTAGACGAGTCACCTCATTCTTCAGGTCAGCCCCACACATTACTCACTGCCTGCCCCACCCCACCTCTGTGACCTTTGCACTCACTTCTGCCTCCCAGTCTTCCTTTCCTCGTTTTTTTTTATAATCATTTTATTAGGGGCTCATACAACTCTTCACAATCCGTACATACGTCATTTGTGTCCAGCACATTAGTACATATGTTGACTTCTTCTCAGTCTTCTCCAGGAGCTCTTCCTCCTGAACCCCCATTTCTAGTAATGGGCTTTTGTGGGAATTCAGGAACGAAGGTGTGAGTCACCTTTACTCTCTCCCTTTCTTTCCAACCAGAGTCATCAGTGACAATTGCCCTATGACTTCCTGGCAATGTGGCCGGTATTGATGGCTACCCTGTGCCTCGTGTTGACTGTGCACGGAGCTAGGCTAGGGGCCAGTTAGAGAGGTTTGCTCTCCTCTACCTGAAGCTTATAATCCAGCAAGGGGAAGGGGAAGTATGTAAAATGGAAGGATATATTTAAACCAATAACTTCTGGTAGCCATACTTGTTACGGGGCACCGAGGCTCCTTGCGAAGGCTCCTTGAGGGGGTGGGACTGAGTGATGACAAGGAGTGACACCACAGGAAGGTCTAGGGACAAAGAAATAGCTCGTGTAAAGTAGGATGCAGGGTCTGCGGACCCCGTGAAAAATAATAGCGATGATGACAAAGAGAGCAATAGCAGTAATCATGCTAAAAATGTTGAGTCATTGCATGTAGCAGCCAGTGTTCTGGGAACTTTACACAAATCACTCATTTAACCCCCTGAGCAGTGTCTCTGAGATGGGAACTATGGTCCTTATTTTAGAGCAGGGGACACGCAGGCACAGAGAAGGAAGACACAATGAGTGAATGGTGGGGCCAGGATTCGACCTTGAGGGCTGCCTCTGGAGCTTAGGCTCTGCTCCCAGTGATTTCCGTTCCCTACTTCCAGAACCTGCTGGTCCATATGACCCACCCTCCAAACCCAGGCCCAGGTGGCCCCTCCTCAGGGGAGGCTTCTCGTCCCCCAGCAGCAAGTACTCTCATTTCTCTTCCGAACTCATAACGGAGCTTTCCTCAGTGGTATTGCTCACGCCCAGTCTTGTGTTATGACCATCACAATGTGTCTGTACAATCCTGGGTAACTATACCCAGCAGTATTCTAAGTGTTTTGGTTCACGAATTGTATCGTATTCATCTGTGTGGCCCTCCCAATGGCAAGAATAGGATAGACAATATTAATAGCAAGTTCTCTGTCTCTCTGTCTTTTCTGCCTATCTGTTATCTAGTTACCCACCTGTCTATTGGCTTGATGGAAGAGATGGAAAACAATTATAAGCCAATTTTCTTTATGGACCAAATATCTTGAAATACAAGGTGTGATTATTTCTTTTTCTTTCTTCTCCTGTGCTCGTCCAAGTCTGACATTTTTTTTACTCCTTTTATTGGGGGCTCATACAACAATTATCACAATCCATACATCCATGCGTTGTGTCAAGCACATTTCTACATTTGTTTCCATCATCATTCTCAAAACATTTTCTTTCTCCTTGAGCCCTTGGTATCAGCTCCTCATTTTTTCCCTCCCTCCCCGCTGCCCCCTCTTGTGATAATGTTTTTTAATCACCGAATGTACCATAGGAAAAGGTGTTGTATGATTTAATCTCTTTATTGTCAGTTTCAAGAGAAGCATTTTTGGTGGTGTTGGGGAAGGAGAAAGACCCCCGGGAGACTGTAGTTTGGCATGTTAGAATAGGAAGGAGACCCACGTTGTAGGCATGTGGTGCCTGCCCCATGGTTCAAAATATGCTTTTACTTTACCTGTAGGCATGAAGACATCCTATCCATCCTCACTGCAGTCAATGATGATGTGAGCCGGCAAGCTGACTTCTATGGGAGACGGAAACAGATGCCCCAGCCTGCCTTCACATTGCGCAAAAAACTGATCTTCCCAGTGCCTCAGGAAGCCCTTTCTTTACCATAGAGTTGTCGTGGACTCGAAAGGACCTCTCTAATCCCACTCAGCCGAGTGAAGAAGGGTGAATGACCGCAGCCTGCCACTCAACAGTCAAGTCATAGGAAATGCTCTGTTTTCCAGCACAACCTGTTCTCCCCTGCTGCTCGCGTTCTCTCTCTGGATATAGCACAACTTTCTTGATCGAAGACTTGGATTGTAGCAGCCCTGGCTTAGTTGCAAGCTCTGGAGAGCAGCACTGTACTATTTCTTGGTTTGTTCATCTTTGAAATGAAACTTTGGACCAGGTAGATTCTAGGATTCCTTCTAGCCTATACGATCATTGGAAGTCAGAGGTGGCTCCATGGTAGTGGGTTTCTTTTTTGGGTCTACCTCTAACAAGTACTGTAACTGGTTCCCTTTCCCTCATAACCAGCTCTTGGTTGTGATGCTTTGCCTCCTGCTGCCTGGCCTTGACAGTGACATGGGACAAGGAGATGAGGGTCTGTTGATCTTCCCCTCTGAACACTTGTCTTATGAGAAAGCTCGGGCTAGGCTTTGCCCATCTGCTGCTTCAGTGTGAGGGAGATGTTCAGGGAACTTTTTTTTTCTTTCTTAGGCTGTGTGCAGACTTGGCTCTAGGAAGATGATGACTCGGAGTTAAAAGAAAAGCCACGCTGGGAGTGGAAACTTTACAATCTCATGTCACACTCTGTTGGTTCTAACCTTTCAGTTGCTGGTGACAGAGCATTCAGCTGTGTGGATTAAAGCACAGAGGATAATTTACTCCCCTTTTTCTTGAAAACTCAAGAGCCCTTTACTCAGGAGATAATGGTGTCAGGACAAGACATTGTCTTTTTCTTGGCCGAGTGTTCTTGGGCTTGGGAGTTGCACTGTGCAGACCTCCAGCCAACAACCTATACCGTATCTCTAAAACACGTTGCTCCGCTGGCCCAAAGACAGCAAAGAGGGTGCTTCCCAGACGGACACTGTCCACGGGGCTCCTTGCTCTGTTCTCTGACCTAAGGAATGACTGTCTGGCTCTGCCTTGGGTAGTGGGAGACTGTGCATGGAAACTGATACTTTTTGGCATTAATCTTTTGAACATTTCATATACTTGATTTTCTTTAGTTTAATAACAAGAGGCGTTTTTCCTTTTTAATTTCTGGAACCCTATTTTGAATTCCTAAAGGTTAGACCTGCAAGGGCGATGGCGATCCCTGTGGTGATGCAAGCCTGGGAAGGACAAACACCTCGCTGCCAAGCATTCGTTTCCCACCACGTGTGCTGACAAGTCATGAGACATAACAGATGCTAGGACGAGCCATCCCCTCAGAGATGCAAGGATGCCAGTGACTCTCAGATGTGCCTGGTTTTAAACCTACTTGAGCCAGTCAAATTTATCTTGAATTTCTTATGAGAAATTTGCCTGAGGTTCCCCTCTGAATGTCACTGGTTGAAATACAGCTCACTGAGGGCGTGAGTCTAAATACACAGACCAGACTGATCTTCCAGAGCGGTTGCTCATACAAGTCAAGACTAAAGTTTTGGCCAATGGGGTGGACGAGAATTTTCTTCCAGAATCACATTAAGTTCTTTGGCTTCTTTATCGGCCTTCTATGCACGTGACGGATGGTAGGAGTAAGGAACCGAGCAAAGGGTCTGGAGACTGGAGCCTTCCATTTCTGTTTTCCTGCAGTTTCCTTGCACAGAGGCACTAACTCAATGGACCCGATATTTTTGGGACCTTACCTGAAATGTAGAGAAAATGTGATCTGTTGGGAGGATCAAGGTGAATATGTTGATATGTATCCCTGCAAACCAAAGGGGGGCGGTGTTCAAGTGCATTTGAGGCAAATAGGGACGTAGTAGACTCTTCTAGTAGCAACCTCAAGGACGTTTTCAGTGTTTGAGTTTCTTTGGGCTTAATTCCAGGTGAATTTATTGAAGTACAGTCCCTAAAAACAAGTAAACAACAAACAAACAAACTCACTGCCATCGAGTCAATTCTGACCCATAGCAACCCTATAGGACAGAGAAGAACTGCCCCTAGGGGGTTTCTAAGAATATAACTCTTTAGGGGAGTAGAAAGCCTCATCTTTCTCCCATGGAGTGGCTGGTGGTTTTGAACGGCTGATCTTGTTAGCAGCCTAATGCACAATCACTACTCCATCAGGGTTCCAACTGGGCAATGCAAGTGGTTAGCATGCTGATTGCTAACTGAAAAGGTTGGAGGCTGAAATCTATCTGGAGGCACCTTGGAAGAAAGGTCTGCGATCTACTTCTGAAAACTCTCCCATGACACTCATGGGATTGCCATGAGTTCGAATCAACTTGTTGACAATGTTTCAAAATTATTGATCAGAAATAAATCGACACTGGGAATACTAATGATGGCCTCTGAGTGAAGAGCTGCTTCTTCCCGCACCCGTTAGTCGTCAAGAAGGCCAACGCGCGGTTCTGAGTCCAGTTGAACTGTGGATGAGAATCTCCATCAGAAGTATTTGGGGCTTGATGCAAAAGTTCCTTTGGTCTATTTCACATTTCTTTTTTAGTGGAACATAGAACTTAAGAAAATTAATTCTAGAACCAGGAAACTTAATGTAGGCTTCCCCCACCCTCAAGCTGCCAACAAGCAATTTCGGCACCACTGACCATTTATGGCTGTGAGTCAGAGGGACACAGAGACCAAAAAGAGTCTCATCCTTGACTCATGTTACTCTGAAAGCAGATGTATGCACACATGTTAGTGTGCCTTTACAGACCTTGTAAAACGTAATACCTGTTTGTACTGATATGTGTGGGGGTAGAGGGGAGGTGAATTTAGAGTCTGGGAACAATTGGAGATGGTTCAGTCATAGTTATTTGCCAGTGAATCATCATATCTTCAGAAGCAACCACCATTGGCTGCCCAGAAGTTATGAAATAAATGAGCAAATTAAATTAGGTTTCCTTAGAGTTTACTGAGTTATGCTCAAACTACAAGAGCTGCACTGCTGTGTGTGTGTGTGTAAGAAATGTTTGATTGCTGCCCTGTAAAATGAAATGCATACGAACATTTGATAAAGTATTATTCAAATATTACAGTTACTTAATACTGATGCTTTTGTTAGGGGTTGTTGAGTTGGTTCCAACTTATAGTAATCCTATGTCAACAGAACAAAATACTGCCAAGCCTACTACTATTACAGTTCATTAAGGTTTGAGCTATTAGTCACCACAGTACCTTACTTGCCTCTGCTTTAGGTACTCACCATGGTGATGGGCAGGCTTGATATAATGGGCTTCTCCTTAGCAATACAGTAGATTTTGCCAATCTTCAGGTGATGTCACACATTAAAGCAACAGGTACATGTGGGTACTCACCAATCAGAACAGACAAAGGCACAGTGGTGACTGCAGCTGAATAGTAGCCTTTTATCAATGATTGAGATCTCCACCGAGATAAATCAATTTAGAAAGCAATTCCTCATGCCATACACAATTCACAAATTCTTCCAGGTCAGAAGCTTTCTGAGCCATGTAGTTAAGTTGTTGGCAACCTGGGTGCCTTGGATCCTGAGATATTTGTGGACTTATTGTCAGGCTCTCTGTCAGGGACGCTATGCGTCAGAATCATCTCCGGGCAGTGAGTTGGGTGGGTGAGAATTGTAGCGGATCCTTTATGGTGACAATCTATGACATTACTGTGAGTGTACCCTGGCTCTTCTGGATGACTGCTTCAGATTTGAGCCATGCAGCTTCAGTGCCCACATTCTGGGACCACCGAGGGTCAGGAACGTGACCCTGAACTTTGAATTAAAGCATGAATGTGTCAGTGGCCAGAAGGCCTCAGATTTATTGCCGGGTGCTAGTGATTCATCTTTCTGAAAGCTGCTCCAATCCATCCTCTCCCCCTGACAGACTTCGACTCCATTGTCCTGCACTCTACTCACTCTCCCAGGGGAGGGAACTTACAACCACACATGGAGTCATGGATTTGGAGCTTGAATGGACCCTAGGAATCTGTGGTCCAGCTTGTCAAAGTCTCACAACTGTTGATGGAGGAGGAACGAGCCTGTATCTCCCATTTGCAATCCTGTGCCTTAAACCACTGATTCCATCGCCACCTCCCCCCCAGCCTCCTTGCCCATTGGCCTGAAACCCGCCTCTCAAAGCACACAAGTGTAACTACCCTCCAGTGAGGTATATATTGTTTGTGACAAGTTTTTTTCACTTCCCCCTCTCCCCATTTTTTGGTAGGCTCTGGGTTTTGTTGAAAGTCCATACACTCCTGTGAATGATGTGGTAAGAACATGTGCTTAGCTTTGAACAGAGACTAAATATCTGAAAATGGTGCCTGTTTGAGAAAGATAGTAGGGAACATAGTCAATTTACAGGAAGAAATATTTGGCAATGCAGGCAACCATTCCCTAGCATAACTGTTTTACAAATGCGAATTTAAAAAGGCTTTTCTATAACACTTCGAAATGGATTCATTTTTACGTTTTAAATTTAGAGTAGGCAACGTCTTTGCAATATTCAAAGATAAAAATGATAGAAAAGTATGAAAGACGAGACTTGCCTCTCTTGGTTCACTATGAAGCCCAGTCCACCTCACTTCTCCCACAGATAAGGCCAGCATTTCGTACTGCCTATGCAAATATATCTGTTATATATAACACATTTATATAATATATCCTATATATAATATATTTTTAAAAACAGGTATTTCTTTTTAAAATAATTTTTCTAAATCACTTTACTGGGGGCTTGTACAGCTATTACCACAATCCATCCATCCATTGTGTCAAGCTCATTAAGCAGGTATTTCTTGAAGCAAAGTCTCTACACTGAAACTCTTTTCTCATTTGATCTCCTTTTGAACAATTCTGTACAAGGCTGGGTCAATACTGGAACACTACTGGAATGGCAATCACTATGGATAGACTGGGTGCTCAAAAATAGTAGGGATTTACTTATCAATAAATAAAGATGTTTTCCCTTTACTTTTGAGTAAATTTTCTTGATTTTAGTTAACCCACCCGCCACCAGATTATATGGTAATGTGTGCTCATTGTGAGCTATGTGCAAAACTACACACACACATAAATCACACACACAGGAGTGAACCTCAGAACCTCAAGTAATCATTTATGATTGCATTTCGATATATTTCCCCATTTTTGCACTCTGAATTTATCCCTGGCCTCCTCCACACTTCTGCTTAAGTTTATCCTCTCTGTACTCCAGCGGTTCTCAACCTTCCTAATGGTGCAACCCTTTCGTACAGTCCCTCATGTGGTGGTGACCCCCAACCATAAAATTATTATCATTGCTACTTCATCACTGTCATTTTGCTGTTGTTACGAATCATCATGTAACTATCTGATATGCAGGATGCATTTTCATTGTTACAAATTGAACATAATTAAAGCATAGTGATTCATCAGAAAAACAATATGTCATTATATATGGTGAAATATTTATTTCTAATGACAAATAAATGAAATTTTGTCTTGAAGCACGGTGTAGCATGGGTAACAGTCTTCATGCCGGGTACTCGTATGTGGGCGTATCTGCATGTGGGCGGACCTGCCTGGGGATGATTGAGGAGCAGCGTCTCCGTTCCTAAACAATCAGAAATATGTGTTTTCTGATGGTCTTAGGCGACCCCTGTAAAAGGGTCATTCGACCCCCAAAGAGGTTGTGACCCACAGGTTGAGAACCGCTGCTCTACTCCCTCCCATCAGGCATCCAACAAGCCTTGTCATTTTCAATATGTGTATTTCCAAGAAATCTTAATTGTAAGCATCCCTCTCTCTGACAACCACTTCCTGTCATTCCATCTCCCTCCGCCTAGGAAAGTAGTCCCCAAACCTTCAGGGACTCTAGTCTATTGACCTTATTGTTTTCCCACCATCATCATCTCTCCATATCTTCATCCCCTCTTTACTTAGCTTCCAGTCCAGGTGTCATTGCTATCTTCGCTCTCTTGCACTTACCTGTAGCACCCTTGCCTCGCCCTTAGTTGTAGTCACCTGAAAGAATCTAGACTCTGAGTCATCCCATACCTCTACTTCTTCTGAGTCTGATCTGGAAGGCTGATGGGGCGCGTATAAAAGCCCACACCGTCACAGGCTAGTCTTGTTTAAAACTGAGGACCATAAAACTCAACTAGGCAGTTTCTGGCACTTGCATGGCATTTTCCTAGGTGGGTCATCCTCCTGTTCTCGTAAACGATTTTACACTTTCTCTGGCCTCCTCAAGCCCCAGCGGTGCTGTCTGGTGCGCACAGTCCACCCACGGCTCCGTGGGAGAAGGTGGGGATTATTGCTCTCATAGAGATTGACGGGCTGGAGGCCTTATACAGGGGCCTTATGGGTTGGAATCAATTCATCGGCATCAAGGTTTTTTGAGTCTTGTCTCCTCAGACCTTTGCCTCCTTTCTCTTCCTCACCTTCATTTGATTCCCATCTCCCGCCACCACATCGACTGGTCGATTTGTGTCTGGACTTGGAGTCCCTGGTTTCATGGTAGCAATGACTAAGAAGGGCCGCAGAAGACCTTACATTTTGGTATTGGCAAGCAGTAGTGAAAGCCAGTAGTGAACACATCAATTTGTCTTGGATGAAGTAAAACCAAAATGCTCTTAGGCATGAGGAGGGTGAAACTTGATCTCATATGTTCTCTTCAAGCTTTTAGGACGGTACCAGAGCCTGGGACAGGACACCAGGCCTGGTAGAGGCTCTTGGGAAAGGAGGAAGACCTTCGATGGTATGGACTGACCCAGTGGCTGTCATGTTCTGTGGTGCATGTGTTCCCTGTGAGTGGGAGCGGCCTCAACACGGAACAGCCATAGCCGTGGATGATGCAAACGGTTATGTGCTCAAAGGCTGATGAAGCAGCCTCACTCCGAGGTGCTGTAGAACACAGGTCTTCTCATGATCAACTCAAAAACCCAAAAACTGTGAGCTAGATGAAGGTTTACCAAGCAGATTGTCAGTGTGACAATTCGTACACATTTTGTTCCAACTCCTCCACTGAAA